AAATAGTGCCAATTACAATAGGTATTCTCATGGACTTCTTAGTTTAGAGGTGTCAGATGACAGCTGAAGATGGCATTTCCTCATTCCATAGTATGGCTGTTGTACAGACAGACATTTGTCACCACCAAATAATTATCCAAAACAGCTTGAACCAGTCAAGAGATATCTTAATCATGATGACAAGCTTTGAATGTTCAATGGCAAATGACATGGTTATTGTTTAACAGGCCTCCATACATGCAAATAGAAATGCAGTGGTCAATGATAATTGAAAGAATTCCTTTTATTTCTTAGTTATTAACATTTCAGGCATGAGCAAGGGTTGAAAAATATAAAAAAGAATTATGAAATATTCAAAATATTTTAAAGTTTTTATAGGGGGTACAGTTATAAATATGATTCATGTCATACTATAACCCTACAAAGTAATTTAAATAAAACTAATATAAACCAAACAAAGTAATATTCCAACATTTATTTTACTTTATTTTTTAACTTATGGATTAGTTTGGACCACAGGGAGAAAAATTAAACTGATTTTAACACATTTAACGATATTCAAGCAAATATACTAAGACTTCATAAAGAGGTGGTATTTACATTAAAGAAAATGTTTTCACAGAGTTTACTTTTAAGAAAAACTTAGTCATTGATATAACTATACAACATTTTATCAAATTTTCATAATTTCTAAACAGTGGGTGTATTGATTTTTCCTAATATATTTTAACAACTAAAAAGAATAAGAAAAAGGAAAAAAAAAATTAATGCCTATTGGGCAAAACAATTTTTATAATATTCTGTCAACTTTTCCAATGGTAAAATCGAATTTACTTTTAATCACAGATGTCAGCCCTGCAATCTTGCAAAATTGTGATAAGTGAGAGCAGTTAAAAATCACACTCGAAAGTAATTATCTGGTAAAAAAAAAAAAAAAAAAAAATAAAAAATCTGACAAATAAGCGGAGCCTGTGTTATGGCTAAGATAGTTGCACATTTCTTGCTTTTAAGTGTTCAAAATATCCAAATTACTTCAATAAAAAATATATAATCTTATACACTGCAATTAAAAAAAAAAAAATAATAAAAAAAAAACAGATTTCGTTCAAATTTGATTTTTTTAAGTGAACACAAAATTTAATCTACATCTGTTAATCTTTTCAACACCAAGTAAAGCTACTGCATTGACATAAATGAAACTGAAAGAGGATAATTTTGAAATACTCTTGAAGTCTTGCAACAATGAAAGAAAAACAATTAGCTCAGCTATTTTTTCAGGTGGATGAGTGGTGATGTTTTCCATTTCTATGCAATAATGCCAATGGTCAGTCATGTTTTTATAGCCTTCATAATTGAATTTGTTTTCTGCTAAGAAATAAACAATGTTTCTATTATAATGAACCAATTAAGTTTTTGTTTCTATCTTTAATCAAGAGGCATAGAGAATATCAAAACATTCTGTAATGAAGTATATGAAAGAAACTGATTGCTGTTCAATATTTTGATTAAAAAAAAAAAAAATTTTCTTTCATAACTGAAAAATTAATATTAAAGCTCTAATAAACATTTTCACTTGGTGTTTAAAAAAATGAAAAGGCAAACTAGTCCATTTAGTTATCACACCTCAAAATAGATTTTCTTTCCAAGAGAGAAAGAATGAAAAAAAAAAAAGAAAAAAAAAAAGGTTCCTTATTTCGAACGGTGTCAAGGTTAACCAGAAATCAATTGATGTATCTGTTCATTTGAAATTTAACTAAAAATAAAAACAAAATTAACATTCATTTGATCAGTTATTTTAGTTTGACAGAATTGAATGAAAAATAAGGAGAGCTAGACGGCCGGTGAACCTAATAATGGTGATATAACTGTACTTTCTTCCTGTTTGACATCCAACAATAATCACTCGAAGAAGCGCATTCCTCTGCATGCTCGACTGAAGCAGCCACCTATACATGACACTCTACACTGAATAAAAATACTTTACTACTTTATCACTTTTAGTTTTTTAACGAACTAAAGCGGGTGTGGCTCGTCTGGTAAAATAACAAGGAACTAAGTATTTTAGTTTTAAAAAATTAAATAAAAGATAAAGAGTATTTTTAAAATTGAATTACTTTTTTTTAAGTTACTTTAAGAATGAACATCATCGATTCAATTTCGTGCAATAGTTTCTTATAAAAAAAAAAAAAAACATTTTTTGTTAATTCTTCATCACAACGTTTTTATTTTAAAAGATATTTCTTCTTTCTCTAGAATCTCTGAATGAATGTCACTATTATTGTCGGTGTGTGGATTAAAGCTTTCCGATTGTGGTGGATTTGGTAAAAATAAAATATACTCACAAAAATAAAATTAATAAACAAGATCGATTTTCAATTTTTTTTTTGTTAGTAAATTTTGAAAAAAAATCAATTCTTGTTAGAATTTTTTTAAAAAAAGCATCAAGGAAATCTGTGTGTGTGTGTGTGTGTGTGTGTGTGTGTATAGAATCTCTACGCCCCAAAAACCTAGATCTGGTGACCAATGTTTTCCTGTTATTAAAAACTTTATCTTGGCATAAAAATACAGATTATTCAACCGCATTAGTTTAAAAAAATGTGTTAGAAATTGAACAGTACACAAAGACGAGATGTAAAACTACAACATGAAGAGTAGAGAGTGTATTTAATTTAAAAAGTAGGCGTTTTCCTCCTCTTCAGTGTACATTAGTTTCTAAATAAATATCATTTAAAATACTAATTTTGGTAGGTGTATATGACGTACAATAGACTGAACAATAATACCATTCATCATAGAATGGCGCGAGTAAACTTTTTTTTTTCATGCTTTCAAAATGAGATAAGGGCGTGACCATCCTAGTTGAAGTTGGTCGACATATGAACAGTACCAGAAGAAAGTAAGATTAAAAAGAAACAAAGCTGATAATTTAATAAAATTTGATTTTTTTTTTTTAAGAAACGTTTTTTAAAAACAGTCAACTGTAACGTGGTGGTCAGTTTAGTAGTTTCCAAATTAACAAAAATAAATTTTACTTTTGATACGTTACAAATACTAATTTATTTTTGTTACTTTGTATGAGGAAAGAAAGAATAATTGTCATAATATCGGTAGATATTGGAAAATATCCATACAATTATAAATTTTGTTTCGGATCAATGAAGAAAATTATTTGTTATGAAAGAATTTTTTTTTTTTTTAAGTTGGTTTCGTTTTGTACACTTTTCGTTTTTTACTTTTTTAGTTAAAAAATATATAAGCTTCTTTGCAAGTGTACTAAACAAGCATTCAAGAAAATTCGTCTAAAAAGCTTTTTGATATTCGAGGGTGGGCAAAGTTAATTAATTTTCATTTTTAAAAAGAAAAACAATCGGCGAACAGTCACATCGTTAATTAATCTTGATTTGATGATACTAAAAAAAATGGAGGAACATTTTTTTTTAAAGTTTAAAAAGCATGTGTTTAACACGAGTGTCAGTAATTCTGTCGTCGAAATGAGAAATTATGTCCATCTCGCTCGGTCGAATTTTAAATACATTTTTAAATCATTTCTCTTTTAACATTTACATTTTTCAAAGTTTTGTACAGTAGTTACCAGAAATATCTAAAATAATAATGAAATTAGGTTTGAAAGATAAAGTCCAGATTTAATAATTTACTTTGCGTGAATTGTTATTCACCAGATTTAAGGTGGTTATCGTAAAAAATTTATGAGAACAAGACTGGCCGTGAGTTAGTCAACACTTGGGGTCAGACAAAAAAAAAACAACAGACGTTAGGAACTGATCTTTAGCCACTAAGGAAAGAAAGAGAAAAGAAGACATTTCGGGGGCGCACCTTAAACCAGTAACAGACGAAAATACAGACAAATAATTTGCTCAATGCTATGGACAATTAACTTGGAATGAAAATAATAGCAACCGGACACAAGACAAGAGAGTGACTTCGAAAATTTTACTCATTGTTGGGTTTTTAGGTGGGGACAGAAAAGTGTTAGTGGAAAGGAGCCAACCAAACACAAACAAATTGTTTGTTTTTTTTTTTAAACTTAAAAAGTAAATTATTTTGTAGCTTAGTTTTGCCATTTAAGATTCAGTTCTTAACTTCCTTATTTCTTTACGAAATAAAATGTCAAGGTAATTTTCATAATTTGTTCCAGCTATATTACAAAACAGGGAAAACCATTTATGAGGAAAAATAATTGCTAATGATATTAAATCAGTAGTAAGAAGAACAAAGACATTGAAATTATGAAAATAGTTTACATTATAATATAATATTATCTTGAATTTTTAGATCATATCAATAGTTAAAATGACTCAAAGGAATAAATAAATAAATTCATAACACGCCCATTTTTAAATTATGTAGAAAGTGTATTTTTTTTTTTAGATGCCAAGTGAATTCAGTCAACTTCAAAAAGTGATCAGATGTTTTACGTCCGAAAGAAAAGTTTCCATTCATAATGTTCCTGGATTTATTTTGACACAAATTAGCCACATTTTGTAATTATATTTCTTCACTCTGTATAATTTCAGTATTATTAATCATTTTCTGAGTGCTTCACATTTTAAGTGTTACTGTTATGGGTAAAAAAAATTTAAGAAAAATATATATTTTTTTTAATTAGTACACTTTGTTGAAATGGAAACTAAGTGAACTTTTACTAAAAAAGTGTAAGGCATCTTTTTCACACTAGATCAAATTAAAAAATGTTAAATTTATGCAAATTTAATAATTTAAAATTCGTTCTTAACAACGAGAAACAATTTACTTCCTAGTTAAAAAAAAAAAAAAAGAAGAAAGCATTTATTTTGACTTTTTGTGATCACGCCAACGAAAAGCGATTGTGTATTTTGTTGACCCAACAGATTATTACTAAAGAGCGAGGAAAATGAATCTAATTAAAAATAAACAAATAAAAGAATGTGTGCGTAATTTTAAATAACAACTATTAAGTATATAAGTTGAAGTATGAGGTTTTTCTTTTTAGTCAAGGATACGAACTAAGGAGGTTGGTCACTTCGCTAACATTCGGTCCTTGTTCCGCTTGTTCTTCTGTCAACTCATCTTGGTATTTATCCTCGTCGAACTGATCGACATCAACTTTACGAAACTTACAGGAACCAGTGTTCTTCGACATTGCCTAGGATCTGCTGTATTTTTTTTTTTTTGTTTAATTTCGTGTTCCTTACTAGAGGAAAAAAATAAATTGAATCTTAAGCAGACTAAGCCGGCCACCCAATACCAAGAACAAAATTTTTAGCACGCCCCGGAAATAAGCTCCACGCTCCGGAAGTTAGCCTCGATTCAAGCATTACAAACTTAATATACTCATTTTATTAATTTGCTTTTTATTTATTTTAAAGACTGTTATAAAACGATTTAAATAAAAATAAATAACTTTAAAAACAGTTGACTGTATTTTTAAAAACTAAAGACATTTTTGTTATAAGAGAGTAGACAGAAGATACCGGAAGTTTACATTTTATTTACTTTAATGCTATGATTACTTTTCCAATAAATTAATTTAAATTAAATCTTAAAAATTATTTTCCTATTTATTAAATTTATTGAATCTATTTCAGCTCAATAATATCGCGAATAATATATTTCATATAATCAGTAACATCTTTATAGCGGATGTACTGTAGATCACGTGGTAAAAAGTGCGAGCCTTCCCTTTGGTAATTCAACTTGAATTAAGATGGTGAGTATTTTCATCTCTGTGAAATTTAATCGGTGTTAATCTGCTAAAACTGACAAGTTTTTCGCATGGATATTATTTTTTATATAAATTACACTTTGCTTTCACTACAGAATTAAACATTTTCACATGAGAAGTAATTTTTCTATTTATTTTTTAGGTTCAAAATAACCTCGTGTCTATTTTTCCAGCTTGGGAAATACTTGCAATAACTAGCATTAATTCTGATGTAGTTTAGCTGAATGCAATAAGTTCCTCGTGTTCGTGATAAATTACACGAAACATTTATCAACAGTAGTACTAGCTGCCTTAATTTTGAGAAGGCAATATTATTTGAAAATGCCTCGGTAATCTTCCTTTTTATGGGAAATTTGTGATTAACTCAATTCTTGAAATCGAAAGATTTTAGTGAAAAAATGTAATGTCGATGTGTGATTTTGGTAACATTTGCTTTTCCGTCACATTCAGGCTAAAGTTAAGGCTAAGGATCTCCGCGGAAAGCGAAAGGATGAATTGAAAACCCAGGTGAAAGAATTAAAAAATGTAAGTATTGTACAATTTCGTTTATTCATTTTACATTGTTTTAAAAGACTGCCACACGTCGCATCTATATTTATAAAATGAAACTTGCCTGAATGATTATTTAAAATTGGGAAAGTGGAATTTTGTAAAAACAGGAAATTAATTACAATAATTCAAAAATCAACTATTGATTGAGTCTGTTTAAAAGGATTTCTCGGCTTTTTTTGTTTTTTAAACAAATCAACATGCGATCAATTTGGTCAAATAGAATAAAACAAACTTTTCATTTTAAGTAGTATGATCTTAGGAAATTCAATATTTCACTCAGCCGAAGTCACTGATTTTGGTTTAATTGAATTTAGTCACGGACTTATTCACAAATTTTAACGTTTCGTTTTCTTGTCTTATTTAAAACTATTAGTATTACCGAACAATAATTACGACTGGGTGGATTGGAAAGTAAAGAAACCAGTATTAAGACTTCTTTATTAAGTATTAAACTAAAGTAGCTGACTATTTTAGGCAACTCGCTCTCAAAATTCAAACATTTTTTTGGTACTTAACTTATATTTTTAAATGTTTAAATTAAATATTACTTAGACACTATCATTCATAAACTAAAAAAAAAAAAAAAAAAGCTTTTAAATAATTTATCACTTCGCCCTTTCTCGATTTTTTTTTTTTTCTTTTATTTTTGTAGGGGGTAAGTTTTACTTTTTATAAATCTAATATCCCCCTTATTTGGGGTTTCGATAAATGCTTTTAGTAAAATAAATATTCCATATCTTTCGGATCCAACAAATTGTCAATTGTTGAATCTTAATCCAGATTTCACTTCAGGTTTGTAGTTTAAGATGATAAACAATATCGTCCAGTTCTAAGGGAAGTAATTATTACATATAATGTTAAAGAAGCTTTAATTTCCGCTTATATAATTGAGAACACTTGCTAATTACAAATGTTTTAAATAGAAAAAAATATGGTATTTAGACTCAATTGATTTTCAGATGACTTAAATAAAAAATACTCTGGCATCATACACTAAATAAAATCGGCGATCACACGGCTTCCCGTCTAACTGTACAAAGTAAACTGCGAATTGAATTTAGGGTATATACAGTTTTTTTTCCTCATATATATATATATATATATATATATATATATACACACACACACACACACACAGTATTAAATGTAAACATTAGCGAGTTTTTCCTGACTCTGCATTCTTTTATTTATACAGGAACTTGCTCACCTCAGAGTTGCAAAAGTAACTGGAGGTCAGGCTTCCAAACTATCAAAAATGTAAGTTTATTTTATTTATTTTTATTTTTTTATTTATTTTTTTTTTTTTTCAAATTTTTTTTAATGGTGTATTTGTTCTGTTTGATAGTAAAGATGACTATTGCTGTATTTTTAATTTTTAAAAAAGATACTGTTTTTAGGTACCTCCATTGAATTTTTGATACCTAAAGGTTTAAAATGAATTCTTGAAAATGAAAAGCATTCTTGAAGATTTCATCTTGGCTTTAATTGAAAGCTGAATGATTAAATTTACTACTTCAGTAAATAAAATACCGTATTTTAAATAGAAATTATATTGATTGGGATCTCGACTTCTTGGCCACTTTCAGAAAATCAATGTAGCTATTTTGACACCTTTATAAACAAAAGTAAATTATTTTAAAAATCTTTCAAAAATAAAATATACTTTTCAAACTTTATCTGGAATATTAGCTGATTTAAAATATAATTAATCTCATGGGGGTGTGTACACTAACCCCCCCCCAAAGCAGTCTGTATGGACTGCATTGCTTGCAATAAGCATTTGGAGGTCCAAGGACTGGCTGTGGAAACACTAACAAAGGGCTTAGTTCCCAGCCCAAACACTAGTTGATTGGAATCAGTTTTGCCGTGATGTGTGTGTTAAGTATTTCATTAACCACCATCAGTGATAAAGAGAAACGGGGGGGGGTATCTGAAAATGCGTATTTGATATTCTGAACAATATGCATAGGAAAAAATAAAACAGTTATGTGACATGAGTGGGTGCAAAAGTGTAATAGCGACAAAAAATTTAAATGTATTTTTAAAACAAACGTTAAGTGTTGATTACACACTTATTGGCATCACTTGTCAAAACGGAAAATATTTGCTGTAATCTAATTTTAGGAATGTTGTATTTAAATTTACTCTTGTCATTGTGCTAATGTTTTTATTATGCTGTGTATGATTGACTGTACTTTCAAATGGGGCAAGTTGTGTAATATTTTATGTACATAAAATTTTGAATTCAGAAATATTCAGTGCAATTGACTTTTATTGAGCTTTTTAATTTTTGATTCATAATAACAATATCACCTAACTCTCTTAATGCAGAATTTTAGTTAAATTTGCAGATAATGTCCCAGTGACCAATTTAAAAAAAAAAAAAAAAAAAGCCTGATTGCAAAAATAGCAATAAAAATGAGGAAACTCCTACTGTTTAAGAGACATTGCCTATCTTAGTTGGGTTCCAGGTACAGCCTGTCTGCCTCAGGAATATGTGAAAAAGCCCTCAGTATGATGAGGGATTGACCTCAGGCTCATAAATTAAGCAACATATTACTTCAGGCAGCCTGGCTGTACCTGTTGACCCAACTAAGATTAGTAATATTTCCTAAATCATAGGGTTTCCTCAATTTGCATTGCTATTTTTGTAATCATCAAACTTTTTTTTTTTTTTTTTTTTTTTTTTTTTTTTTTTAAATGTTAACCAAAATTTAATAAAATAATGAAAAAATACTTTGGCCTTTCCTCTTGGTAATAAATGTTATGATGGTAAAACTTAAGTTTGGAGCCTTTCTTTTTTCATCATGTTGTTTTTTTTTTTTTTTTTTTTTCTAGCAAAAGTGTAGGTTGCTATGCTATACTTTAGCAGCTATAAGTAGTTAAGTGATTTCATTCTAACCATAATTGCAAAACTTGGGTGCCTCTCAAAATTTGAAAAAAGGCATACTAAGATTGAAAAAAAAGAATGCTCCAAACTTGATAAAACTTTATCAAAATCTGAGACAAAAAGTGTTGTATTTTTTATGGGGGGGGCTATAGAATATCAACAAATTTTAGCATCAGTTTATTTTTTTGTGTGTGTGTGCTGAAAGACATAATTTTGATTTTTCTCATTAAAAAAAAATCAATTTCATAGATTTTTTTTTTTTACATGTTACACTTCCACTTAATTTTATGGGAACTTTAGAATGCTCTGAATGGGGGGGGTACAAAAAAAATTATTAGAAAAGCTTGCTTAATTGCTTTTGTATAAGATATATTAAGGGCCTTACAATTTAAGGTCACCCAATATTTTTAGGAAGGTATTTCTGTGACATTTTAAGCTTAAAATATTACAAGTGATGCTTTATCTTGATTTGATCTTTTTGTATTGGAAATGTTATTCAAATTATTCATTTGTTGTAGCAGCTTTCAGCATAGGCTTTTTAGTTATACAATGTCTTATTTTAATAAATTTCTTTCAGTCGAGTTGTCCGGAAATCAATTGCTCGTGTGCTGACTGTCATTAATCAAACACAGAAAGAACATCTGCGCAAATACTATCGTGGCAGGAAATACAAGCCCAAGGATTTGCGTCCCAAGAAGACTCGTGCTATGAGAAGGCTTATGACTCCTCATGAAAAATCCCTGGTCACACATCGACAAGCAAGAAAAAGAATGTTGTGGAAAGTCAGGAAGTATGCTGTCAAGGCTTAAGTATTGATAGCTTAAATAAAAAAACCTATACAATTTTAAGTTGTCATTTATTTTTTGATAATGTTTTTGTGATACCAAAATTCAAAAGTTGACTACATTTTATTCAAATGTTGAACGTGATTTTTACTCTAGCCTCAAACAATTCTGGTTATTTATGTTACTAAGAT